TTCCCAGCACCATTTATTGAAGAGACTGTCTTTTTTCCATTGCATATTTTTTCCTGCTTTGTCAAAGATTATTTGACCATAGAGTTGAGGGTCCATATCTGGGTTCTATATTCTGTTCCACTGGTTTATATGTCTGTTTTTGTTCTAGTACCATGCTTTCTTGGTGATCACAGCTTTGTAATATAGCTTGAAATCAGGCAGCATGATGCCCCCAGCTTTGTTTTTCTTTTTCAACATTTCCTTGGCGATTCGGGGTCTTTTCTGATTCCATACAAATTTTAGGATTGTTTGTTCCAGCACTTTGAAAAATGTCACTGGAATTTTGATTGGGATGGTGTTGAAGGTATAGATTGCCTTGGGCAGCATAGACATTTTAACAATGTTTATTCTTCCAATCCATGAGCATGGAATATTTTTCCATCTTTTTGTGTCTTTTTCAATTTCTTTCATGAGTGTTCTGTAGTTACTAGAGTATAGATCCTTTACCTCTTTGGTTAGGTTTATTCCAAGGTATCTTATGGTTTTTGGTGCTATTGTAAATGGAATTGATTGTCTAATTTCTCTTTCTATAGTTGCATTGTTAGTGTATAAGAAAGCAACTGATTTCTGTGCATTGATTTTGTATCCTTCCACATTACTGAATTGCTGTATGAGTTCTAATAATTTGGGGGTGGAGGTTTTTGGATTTTCCACATAAAGTATCATGTTATCTGCGAAGAGAGAGAGTTTGACTTCTTCTCTGCCAATTTGAATACCTTTTATTTCTTTTTGTTGTCTGATTTCTCTTGCCAGGACTTCTAGTACTATGTTGAACAATAGTGGCAAGAGTGGGCATCCTTGTCATGTTCCTGATATTAAGGGGAAGGCTCTTAGCTTTTCCCCATTGAAGATGGTATTTGCTGTGGGTTTTTCATAGATGGATTTTATGAAATTGAGGAATGTTCCCTCTATCCCTATACTCTGAAGAGTTTTAATCAGGAAAGGTTGCTGTATTTTGTCAAATGCTTTTTCTGCATCAATTGAGAAGACCATACGTTTCTTCTCTCTCCTCTTATTAATGTGTTCTATCACATTGATTAATTTGTGAATGTTGAACCACACTTGCATCCCAGAGGTAAATCCCACTTGGTCATGGTGGATAATCCTTTTAATGAATTGTTGAATACTATTAGCTGGGATTTTGTTGAGAATTTTGGAATCCATATTCATCAGGGATATTGGTCTGAAATTCTCCTTTTTGATGGGGTCTTTCCCTGGTTTGGGGATTAAGGTAATACTGGCCTTATAGAATGAGTCTGGAAGCTTTCCTTCTGTTTCTGTTTTTTGAAACAGCTTCAGGAGAATAGGTATTATTTCTTCTTTGAATGTTTGGTAATTCCCCAGGGAATCCATCAGGCCCTGGACTCTTGTTTTTTGGGAGGATTTTGATCACTGCTTCAATCTTGTTACTGGTTATTGGCCTATTCAGGTTGTCACTTTCTTCCTGTTTCAGTCTTTGTAGTTTACAGGTTTCCAGGAAAGCATCCATTTCTTCCACATTGCTCAATTTATTGGCATATAGTTGTTGATAATAATTTCTAATAATTGTTTCTATTTCCTTGGTGTTAGTTGTGATCTCACCCTTTTCATTCATAATTTTATTAATTTGGGTTCTTTCTCTTTTCTTTTGGATAAGTCTGGCCAGTGGTTTATCAATCTTAATAATTCCTTCAAAGAACCAGCTTCTAGTTTTGTTGATCTGATCTACTGTGTTTCTGGTTTCTAATTCATTGATCTCTGCTCTAATCTTAATTATTTCTCTTCTAATGCGTGGCTTAGGCATCGTTTGTTGCCTTTTCTCCAGTTCTTTAAGGTGTAAAGTTAGTTGGTGAATTCGGGATTTTTCTATTTTATTGAGTGAGGCTTGGATGGCTATGTATTTCCCCCTTAGGACCGCCTTTGCAGTATCCCATAGGTTTTGGACCAATGTGTTTTCATTCTCATTGGTTTCCATGAATTGTTTAAGTTCTTCTTTGATTTCCTAGTTGACCCAAACATTCTTGAGCAGAGTGGTCTTTAGCTTCCAAGTGTTTGAATTTCTGCCAAATTTTATCTTGTGATTGAGTTCCAGTTTTAAAGCATTGTGGTCTGAGAATATGCAGGGAATAATCTCAATCTTTTGGTATCGGTTGAGACCTGATTTTTCACCCAGTATGTGTTCTATTCTGGAGAAAGTTCCACGTGCGCTCGAGAAGAATGAGTATTCTGTTGTTTTAGGGTAGAATGTTCTGTATATATCTATGAGGTCCATCTGGTCCAGTGTGTCATTCAAAGCTCTTGCTTCTTTGTTGATTTTCTGCTTAGATGATCTGCCTATTGCTGAGAGTGGAGTATTGAGGTCTCTTACAGTTAACTTATTACCAATATGACTCTTTATTTTGGTTAACAGTTGGCTTATGTAGTTGGCTGCTCCCATGTTGGGGGTGTAGATATTTACAATTGTTAGATCTTATTGGATAGACCCTTTAAGAATGATATAGTGTCCTTCTGTGTCTCTAACTACAGTCTTTAGCTTAAAATCTAATTTGTCTGATATAAGAATTGCTACCCCAGCTTTGTTTTGAGGTCTGTTGGCATGGAAGATGGATCTCCGTCCTTTCACTTTCAGTCTGGATGTATCTTTAGGTTCAAAATGAGTCTCTTATAGACAGCATATGGATGGGTCCTGTCTTTTTATCCAATCTGCAACCCTGTGCCATTTTATGGGAGCATTTAGGCCATTCATGTTGAGAGTGATTATTGAAAGATATGAATTTATTGTCATCATGTTGCCTGTGAAGTCCTTTTTTCTATAGATTGTCTCTGTAAATTTCTGTTTTATATCACTCTTGGGGTCTTTATCCTTTTATACAACCCCCCTTAATATTTCTTGCAGGGCCGGCTTAGTGGTCACATATTCTTTCAGTTTCTGCTGGTCTTGGAAGCTCTGCAATTCTCCGTCCATTCTAAATGACAGCATGCCAGATAAAGTATTCTTGGCTGCATGTTCTTCTCATTTAGTACCCTGAATATGTCTTGCCAGGCCTTTCTGGCTTGCCAGGTCTCTGTGGATAGGTCTGATGTTATTCTGATGTTCCTCCCTCTGTATGTAAGGAATCTCTTTCCCCTAACTGCCCTTAAGATGGTTCTAAGATTTACAAGTTTTAGTATTACATGTCGGGGCATTGTTCTCTTTTCCTTGATCTTGGGAGGGGTCCTGTCTGCCTCTAGGACATGAATGTTTGTCTCATTCCCCAGATTAGGGAAGTTCTCAGCTACAGTTTGGTCAAATATATGTTCTAGTCCTCTCTCTCTTCACCCACTCAGGGATCCCAATAATTCTGACATTGGAAAGTTTCATGGCGTCACTTATTTCTCTAATTCTGTTTTCATGGATTTTGAGGTGTTTCTCCCAGGCCTCCTCTTTTTCCTTCTTTTCTATCAATTGGTCTTCTAGATCACTAATTCATTCTTCTGCCTTGTTTACCCTAGCTGTTAGAGTATCTAGATTAGATTGGATCTTATTGATAGCATTTTTAAGTTCTGCCAGTTCAGCTCTCATTTCTGCCCTTAGAGACTCTATGTTGCCATTAATCAATTTCTCCATTCTAGCTATTGTCTTCATAACTGCTACCCTGAAGTCCATTTCCGACATCTTGGTTATCTCTGTATCCATTTGTAAATCTGTGGCAGAAGTCACAGTCTCTGAGTCTTGACTATTTTGGGGGTTTCTCCTCCTAGTCTTTCTGTTGAAGGGTGGTTGAGGGAATGTACAGAGTTCAAATCATTGACCACAACCCAAGCAAGATGCACCTGTTTTATAGGGACTTTAGGGTTGCCGGCCTCTTGTTCTCCCAGCCTGTCTTCTGGGGGAGGGGTCTGCAGCGCTGTTACTCAGGCAACCCTGTTTGGGCAGAGTTGCCTTGCCCCCTGTGGGAGGGGATGGGCTCAGTGAAAACCGGTTTGGGGGCCTTTTGTTCTCTGGCGGCTTTCCCTGGTGGCTTTCCGTGTCTCTTCCTAGAGTCAGAGCAGAAGAGACTATTTCCAACCCTCTGCCTCAGAGCAGAGAGATCACAGTCTGTTCTTCAGTGAGCTCTCCAGGCCACACTATCTCCGTTTCTGTCTGTGCTGCTAAAAACTGCAGCCTCCTGGGTTATGCTCCCCTCAGCAGCACTCCCAGTCCTCGCCTCCAGGTCAGAGCATGTCTCTGACCTTTGCGCTTTAAAACTGCCAGCCACCTCCAGTTCACACACATGCCCCTGCAGCTCCAGGTTTCAGTCCCGGGGGCTGCCCTAAAGTCCTTTTCCACCGCTACTGGTCTGAGTCTGCCCCATCCCCAGCATGGGAAGCTTTTGTGAACCGGTGGTGCAGGATCCCAAAGCCTCCCTCCCCCTTCCATTTATCTTCCAATATCTGCCCAAAGAATCACGGCCCCCCACTTCATACCTCAAAACCAACTGCCTGTGATATTCTGTTTGTAGAGATCCAGATATGTCTTCTTACATTTCAGGCTGATTTTGTGGGTGTTCAAAGTGGTCTGGTAGATATCCAGCTCAATTCAGGGGACCAGTTGGAATAGGGTCCCCTACTCCTCTGCCATCTTTTCCTCCCCCCCGCCCCGTTTAGTGCTATTTTCTGCCAAAGCATAATTGTCAACTTTCAAGTTATTTGTATTACCCTATTTGCCATAAGGACATAAGTATTTCCTTTTAGTTTTAGCACATATCATGGCTTTGAAATATATCAAGGTTTTCAGAAGTATTCCCAAATATTTTAAAATTTTCTAAGGGCAAGTTTTTGTTTTATATTATCAAATAAACCACTTTACTGTTCTGGATTTGAATGTTGACTTGAAGAGATTTGAAGGTGCGTTGTAGCCAGGGTAGACAATAGGTCACCACTTTACCCTGTGGGTTTTTGCATTTCCTTTGCTTTAACATTCATGAATACCTAACTCACTAGAATCTTTTCATTCCTTTCAGGTAAACATATTACCAGATATACAGCATCAGCTTTGCAGAAAAGAAGGATTATGTCAAATAATTAGAAGATTTCCAGGTAATCTTTAGTTTGCTTCCTTATGCATAAACATGTGAGTTATGTAGGCTGCTTTAGCAGATACCAAATAATGAGATCTGAGATATCAGATCCTTATATTTAGTTCCTTGGTCTATCATTCCACTATCACAAATCTCCCAGAATCCACAAGGTTTTGCCCATAGGGGGACCCTGATAAAAAGGAATACAAGCATAGCATTGGTATTCTTTCTTTCAGTTTTGCCTTCTAACTTTCTGGGTGAATGTTCCTTTCTTCTTTTGTATTTGTCTTGAAAATTATTGCTGTTTTATTTTAAAAGCAATTATTATAATTATTAAAATACTTCTTAATTATATAAAATAAGGTTTAAAAAAATGTATTTCTTCATGATTAAGTAATTCTGATTTTAACAAATTTGTGTTTCTGCTTTTTGAAATTCCCTCAATTTGTCTGTGTGTTTCAGACAGGATACTGAATGAGTAAATACCATGTCTTGACAACATTAGAAATTTGGGGCAAAAATTACCATCTCATTTTCTAATCGATTCCCAAAGTGAAAAAAAAAAAATCGGATATGGTCTATGAGTCTTCAGAGATCAAATTATAGCTTACTTTAAAACCCATGAGTGAAAGGGTTCCTCAAATTTCTTGTTTAAAATCCATTTAATGTTAAACAGCTTATGGCCCTAGAAAGTATTTCAGTATATAATTACAATTTAGATCTGCAGAGCTTCAATTCTATTTTTAAAAATTTAACTTGTGTCCTAGTGGGATCAGAAACCTCATGTCCCATGGGGTTTTCCGTGGAGTTTCTGCTTCACACAAAACATATACTACATTGGTACGCCCCATCGTAAAGACTACAGTCTTCTACTGTCATTTCTCAAGGATTAAAATAAAGTAAAAATGAATCAACAACTCAACTTTCAATATAAGGTATTCATCTAAAATTAAAAAATAGCTGTCTAAACTTGGTTTTATAGTTATTATTTTTCTATGGCGATTGTAACTGACTCCATAATCTCTAAGTTTTGTTTCATTTTGTTTCTGTAAACTTCCAGCTGGGTAGTTTTTTATTTTATTAAAAAAAATGTTTTTGTGAGATGCAAGTAAAATAATTATTTCCATTAATATATTATAAGTAAGTATCTAGGGATCCTTTAGGCAATTTGAAGAAAAGAATTTGTTTACATTTTGAACAGAGCCTGCATATTTTTAAAGTATGTTTTTCTTTGTTGCTACTTACATTTCAAAATGATTGATTCAAAACATTAAGTTTCTTTAGCTTTGGAGTCAGCAGAACATGTAGAATCATAGGAATAAAAGCTCATTTATATCCAGAAGTGGGTTACCACTTTAAAAAAATTCCCCAAACAACTCTTACATAAGCTCATATTTTATGCTTTGCTTATCTGCCATTAAGAAGCTTTTAACTGTCTTCTTGTTTTAAATATTATTTTTTCCTCAAGAACATCTATAGGTTCTAGACATAATGTAGTCCTTTCTCCACTCTGTCTAGTGTTTCAATTTTCTATTTAGCTCTGTGACTAACAGGATAATTTCACGGAATATATTGCCTTTTAAATAAATAATTTTATTTAAATTTAAAGTTATTAAAATAATTATCATGTTATTTGTCTCTAGCTAAAGATAATTTTCTTAGATGTGTAGCTTTAAAGGACAGCATATAGGCCACAGGATTATTTTCTGATTTAAGCTTTGTATACAATAGATTTTGTTGTAGACTGTTGCTACGAATATATACTATGTGGTATAAACTCAGTATTCACAAGATTAAAAACATTCTATTTGTTATGAATAGTGAATATTTAATATTGACTACAGATTAGATAGCAACATGTTAGTACCTAAATATATACTATTATTAAAGAGGTAAGATAAGCAAACTACTTTATAATTGAGCCATTTTATTTAAAGCCAAATGGACTGTGCCATTTTAGGCTGTGTTTCATTTGGAGGTAGACAAGACACAAATTTTTGAAACCAGGGATTTTAGCTCTGCCACCTATTAGCTCTGTGATTCTGAAGTGGTTAGTTTTTCTGTTTGCTTTTTTAATCTATAAAGTGAGGCTAATGAAACCCATTTCATAAGTTAAATTTTAAAAACATAGTAGATCCTATATATATATATGTGTGTGTGTGTATGTGTGTGTGTGTGTGTAATTGGATTTGAAAAATAAAGCATATTATATATTATACCTGGGGTGCCTGGGTGGCTCAGTCATTAAGCGTCTGCCTTCAGCTCAGGTCATGATCCCAGGGTCCACAGATCGAACCCCAAATAGGGCTCCCTGCTCTTTGGGAAGCCTGCTTCTCCCTCTCCCACTCCCCCTGCTTGTGTTCCCTCCTTTGCTGTGTCTTTCTCTGTCAAATAAATAAATAAAATCTTAACAAAAATTAAATATATATATATATATATATTTTACCTAACACATAGCGCTCCAACAATGTCATCCTAGATTCAAAACATCAAGCAACAGGACTCACAAAATTTAATATTTTTTCTCTTTATATGATTGATTATCACTATGGTTTTATGTTTCTGGCAAAAACTGTGAATATGTTTCTGGCAAAAACTGTGAAGGGTTTGAGATTTCACCCTATTTCCAAGCTCACAAGTCTGCCTGCCACTGTTTCAAACCCGGGGCACAGGCAGAAGACATGAGACTCTTGGGTCAGAGACAAACAGCTCTATTATTTGCAGCAATAGTGGTAGGCAGACTACCAGCATTTGCACTGGTTTACTGAATCCCAGTTCCCACAGGGTGATGAGAAGTGGGCTAGGTGACACTTGTATACTTAGTGGTTTGTGTTTCAGTAGACGAGCTCTGAGCTTAGGGAGTTAGAATGTTTTATAATGGGCAGTGAGCATGCCTGCCCTTTGCTCCGGAGAGAGACATTATTTTTGTTATACTGGACAAAACCTTCTCTTTGCTCCAGAGCAAGACACAATCTATATTTTTCAAGGCTATCTGCTATATAAATATCTTTGAAAAGATAGTTCAGAACAAAGATTGTCAGTGGCTCTGTTTGCAAAATGTACAGAAATGTGAAAATTGCCTGGAGAAGTGTCTCCCAATAGTTTCAGAGAAGAATACCTAACAAGTTCTAGCTCTGAAGCTTAATCAATGTATAATTCTGAGCAAGATTTAAAGCCTACTGGTGCTTCAGTTTCCTTGTCTATAAACATGCAAAGTTTGGCAAGGATTAATAATGTTGAGATTCCATGATTCCACTGTGCATTTTTTTCATGCGGACATGCTGTCCCAGGCTTTATCTTAAGCAGTGGGTGGAGACAGCAATGCTAAGAGTGGAGGGTGGATCATACCGGTAAACGTGGTTGGGACCGTGTGTGTGTAGCAGGACAGAGTCTGGGCCAGAGGTAGAGGAGTGTTTGAAGACAGCATGTGAGATTAACACAGTCTGTTCTGTTCCATCGCCAAGCTGAGTGTACCTGCCATTAGACTTGTGACTCACTTTGAAAGGCACAAATCCATGGAATTTTTACTGGCTAACACAGAGATTTATTTTTACCTTGCCATTTAATGCTTTGCCTTTTGGAAAAAAAAAAAAAAAAAAAAAAACAGTTTCATAACTTTTGTTGGCCCAAATTCTGGCTAATGGTTTTTGTTGCTTTTTAGTAACTTTGTTTTTTAGGTAAAAAAGATTTCTGTCCCATATTTGAGATATAAATATAAAACAAGACATCAGAAAATGGTTTTACTTGGGTTGTGAGTTGTTGTTTTTGTTCTTTTTTATGCAGTATCATCATCCAACAAGCCCTGGTTAGAAGTGTGCCAAATTTGGGGGCATTACTCATTCTTTCCAGTAGTTTTATCTTAGCTCTCAGCATTGGCTTTCACGTGAAGCTTGAAATGTACCCAAACTTGATGCATAGGAAGCATTTTGAACACTTTAGGATCTGTATCCTCATTTTTATAATAAAATGTGGGTATATGAAGAAAAAGGAAAACAATAAAAAAAACTTTTGTTGTATCTAAAGAAGACTGGACTTTAAAAAATTATAGATGTTTCCTATCAAGTATAAAACATATCTTTAAAATAACATAATTGAAATTATTTTTAAGCATTGATCAATAAGAGTTATTTATCTCACATGGCACTGATGATTGTTTTTAATATTTCAGGTTTAAAAATTCCTATTTGTCATATGATGTCAGCGAAATATTGTCAGGCAATTGGGTAGCTTAGCTTGGATTTAAACAAAGCAATATGGAAAATTGCCAATGCCTAATATCATTTCAGGATTTTTGTTGCTTTCTTTTTTTTTTTTTCCTCCCCTCTGCTATATTCTCCTTCAAACAAGTCTACAAGCCATTGTTAAGGACTGGGGACTTGTCTCTACAAGGCAATCAGGCAAACTTTCAGAGAAGGCCAGCTTGCTTGTTCTTTGTCCTCTCAAATGCTGACATCCCCTCTCTGTGTCTCCTGTGTGTTCCTTCATGTTTCTGTCTTTCCAAAGACTTCCACCTCCTGTCCCACCCATGATTATATCCTTTATGCAAAACATTCTTTCCCTAAATAAAACTCATCTCTTTAGTATGACTGACTTCAGCTAGGTGATAGCAGAAAATAAGCTGATGGAACTAATTCAGACTAAATTACACCCTCACGCCAGTCATAAGCCTCTTAGATGTATTTGCATTTTTATAAAAGAAGCTTTCAAACCCAATGAATTTCTAATTGGTAGAATTTCTGGAAGTACATTCAAATTCTCATTCAGTTCATCGGCAAGCCGTCCACTTCCAAAGCTACTTGGATCCATCTACTTTATCTCATGACCAGTCTAGTTCAAGCCAACATTCTCTCATACTCTTCCCCCTTCCTTTCTTGCCCGGAAAAATCCACTCCATTACTGAGACTCCAGCCAGAGTTATCTTTCCCCCATCTCTTTCATAAATAAAGCAAGTTTATTAGACCTCCTCATAGCAGTCTGCCTAGGGACGGAACAGTAAGGTCCAGCTCTCTGATGCTCTGA